ATAATTCCCATAGTCTAGGGTCCTTAAGGTAATGCAGGATTTATATCATCAACCGTAGTATATAGAGTGGGGGCTGGGAATGCAGGTGCTGATGGGAACATGTGCAGTTTGGGCATGGGGTTCAGGACGGGTCGAGGTTCTTCGCAGAGCACCATATGGGAGTTTCCGAAAATTGGGGACCCTTTACGGGTTTCCTTTAAGGGATCTATAAGGGTTCTATTAAGGGTTTAGGGTTTAGGTATGGGAGTTTCCGAAAATAGGGGACCTCAATATATAGTACCCTAGTAGGATCATTCCTATTCAGTATGCTTCTTCGTGGAAGGTAGTTGAGGAACTGGAGGTGATGAAGATAGAAGTTGCTCTGTTCAGACAGTTGCCTTAATAAGCCAATAACGCTTTTGGGAAGGAATCAGAGATAAGGCTGAAGCCGTCGTAAAACTATGGAGTCTCAAGGGATATAGAGTGCAGGCGCAAACTAAGCCGGCCGACACTAATGCGTCGGCAGGGTACCCAGCTATGCCGGCACCTCAAGACGGCAACGTCCGGCGAGTTAACCCTCTCGGGAACGGGAGAGGAAGGGGGAATGATAGCCCGAATAGAGGAAGACCAAGAGACAGGCCCGATGACAAGACGTCAGACGGAAAGAGGACGGTCAGAAGGGCGGAAGATGATTGATGAGGGCATAGCACCATATGGGAGTTTCAGAAAACTAGGGGTACCTTATTCTGGGGTCCTTATTTTCAGGACCCCACTATTTAGGGTACTATATTAGGGTCGCCTATTTTCGGAGAAACTCCCAATTAATATATGTCGTGCTCAAAGAAGAGGAGCATGCCAGGACTACGCTCGGGGAAGGTGCAGGATGGCAATGACTGCAGGTTCTCCCATGACATGGTACCTATAGTCTCCGTTCCTTTTGTTGTTAGCCCAAAACTATATTTTCGGATCCCAACCATACAACTGGCTAACCAAAACGGGAACTACAAGGGAGACTATAGGTAAAATACGAGTCGGTGAGAAAATACATTGGTCGACGCCGGATTCTGCTACAAATACTTTGGGATTCGTGTAAGGGTACTGTAAATATTTTAAATAAGGGTTCCTCGAAGGTCTCCATCAAGGATGACTAGTATGGGGGCCTTAATATTCAGAATAAGTGGGTTGGGGGCCCAATTTTCTTTAAATGAAACAAGGACCTAAAATAGTATAGGTAATTATGAAGGCACCTGTAGTACGCACAAGGGGTCCATAACCCCGAGGGTTCAAAGGACCCAATAATGAAGTACTTAGGTTTAGGGTAGTAGCTATGTAGGTTACTATCTGGGAAGGGCTCAAATCGCCGCTAGTCGGAAAATTGTAGCCCCAGCACGCGAAGCGTGCGACATTTTGTCCCTTAGCATTCCTCGCCATTTGCCATCTCCGAACTGGCATAGGCGGCTAAGGCAACAGCGATCCAAGGCCCGGACAAAATTCCAAAGAGGTGAACCTTTATCCAAGCGGAGCTCTGCTACCCTGGCGGAGCACCACGGCACCAATCCAGCTTTCCGGAAGGCCCTCTACGACCGTATGGGAAAGAACAAAGGTCGAGCTGCTCAGTCATGGGAAGAAAAAGGATGGTCCCGACAGAAAGACGACCAAGACTGGACCGACTACAAGCAGCGCTATGGCTCCTATCATGGGGGCTATTGGCCGGGTGCCTATCGCACACGGGAGAAGGAAAAGAATTCTCCACGTGTGCCAACACAGACCGGTGCTTTCCCGGGCTACGATGTGGACCGTCGGGACCCCCACGGCATGTCGGTGATTGCGGAGGTTCGGAATGCTCCTGCGGATGCCAGGGAGAGAGGGAGCCTCGCCAAAGCGGCCCAGGATGCGATCAATCTTCTGCGGAAAGCCGAGCACCGCACAGCAAAGTTGCACACTACGATCCAAGAAAAAGCGAGACGGTGGGAGAACTACCAGACGGACCTCCGCGCATCGTTCATGGCAGAGTATCGACGACACCTTGGCGACCTGGACAAGATAGAGCAAGATATCATGGATGCTGCAGCGCAAGAGAAGAAAGCCAAAGAGCTCCTGTCCAGGGCTATGCAGGGTGTTGCTCCCACTCCTGCCCACACCCTTGCCAGGGACGCATGGGAGAAGATGATGGAAGGCTTGCGGACCGACGATCCCATGGAAGTCGATGCGGCTTCCCTGGGGAAGCGGCTGGATGCTATCCTTGGAGCTCCGGCCGATGTTGGTCCTGGAGAGACACCAGCGCCTCGCGTTCCGGATGGCACAAGCGAATTGGATGGACCTGCTGGCTTTGGCCCCACGAGAAGGTATTCTGGCAGCTCTCCGAGTTTGGCCCGTGCAGATCCTTATCTGATTGCCAGTCCGACGGCTGCTCTTCGGGGCCACGTGGCACCCCGGGGCCCATCGCCGGCCCCTTCAGGGATGGATCGGGCGGAATCGCCTTCGGAACCCGAAGCTGTGAAAGCTGTGAGAGAAATGCGGCAGAGGCTGGGAGTCAAGGCCTCCACCAAGCAGCCCCCCCAGCAAGCCAATCTACACGGGAGCCTGGCGGACAAGCTCCACGATGCAAGACGTTGTGCTATGGCCCCCTTTGGCCTCGCTCCACATTTGCCGAAACTCCAACCGACGGGCGACAGCGGTGCTCACTCTGGAACAGCTACCGGCAGACCGCCCGAGGACTTGGCGACCACTGTGGAAAGCGAGGAGGAGCTGAATGCTGCCTCACCGGGGCTTGGCCGCATGGAGTGATGCTGCAGCACCGAAGCTCATCACATGGCTTTGAACTACCGGGGCCAAGCTATGGAAAGGTGACGGATTGTTCGGATCCGGCTCGCCGCGAGCTGTCGGGTCCTTACCTCCAAAGTACCTTCCTTGTCTTGGTTCCTGCTAGCTCGAGGCCATGTGATTCAGCCAGGCTGCTTGCCAATAGTGAGCCGGATTGTCTCTTTGTACATAGTAGTCCCGGTAGTGGAGATTCTTTTTGGCCTGCCTTGGCTCTTCGATCTCTGGTCGCGCCTCTTGTCAGTGTGCCGCCTTGCTGGGCTTGCTTGGCGGGATGCTGCAATCCTCTTCCCCTGATCCTGGAGCGGAGTCACTGGGTTTGTGACGTCCGCCTTCAGGACATGCTCTTCAGGTCCCTCTGGCTCTGGACTTGGCTCATCTACGCACATATTTTTCGGCACCACCCTGTTTGGTGCAGCGGCTCTTGCCATGGGCCCGCAATCTCCTTTGGCCATTTGCTCACGCCTCCCCTTTTTACCTCTTCCGGACCGGTGCCAAACACACGAATCGGTGGCTCTGGGTCGTGGACCTTGTCCGGAGAGGTCTTTTCTGCCATCTACAGGCCGCACGCGGATGTGCCCCTGTTTGGGCTTCCCCGCTTCTGCAGCAAACTTCCTTCCCTGACCCCTAATTTCGGTTTAGGCCCTCATTCCCATTCTTTCTTGCCCCAGCTTGTGCCACACGCTCGCACAAGTGGCACGCGGCCACAGACCCAAAGGGAGGATGTGTTTCCTCACAGGGCTTCTTCGGGTTCTCCTTTCGGTCTAGGTACCTTCCTCTCAGGAGTCCCCCTTCTGTGCTTATACGCGAGTTTGACGCGTGGGTTTAGGTCTACCCGCCTCCTCCGGCAGCTGACTACGCTGCGCGCCAGATGCTGCGGATGTCTCTTGAGGACCCCGTGTCTCTGGGGACACTTTGCAGGGTTCCTCGGCGCCTTACTTTGCATTTTGCACTCCCCCAGCCCTGAGCTGTGGCCAGACCTTCTGGCTGTCCACAGTTCCAGCCTGATGATTGGCTATCGTGCTGTGGTTCTGCTCGGACTCGGCATGCTTTTGGCAGCGCCTGTGCTTCGCTGCAAGGTCACAAAGTGTCGCATCGCAGGACGAGAAGGTGCTGCTCCGGCTGCTTTGTGCATCGAACAAGCTTTCCGTGCTAGGCCCAGGCAAATAAGGACGCGTGCCCACCACAGAAGCCTTACTAATACTAGGTCGAGACACCCGGTCAGAACCCGACCTACTCTTTGGGCAAGGCTCTGGATGTGGGGCTTGCTGTGCCTACACCTTCCAACTCAAGTTTGGTCAGCCCCGGATGATCTCCCGTCTCTCGCAAGAACTGCTGAGTCGCTCTTTGCTTCGGGCCATGGAGATCCTGCAATCCCTCAGACCGACCTTGATCCGCACATAGCGCCTGAAGACACTGCTGCTGTGCGCAGCAATGCGTGCGAATCCTTGGGAGTGCAAGTTCTACTCCCTAACTACCAGGAAGTATATGCACAGGTTGAGGTTAATGAAGGCAGTGATGCCGATGACGTCCTCGCGGCTGTCGCCGACATTGTGTCGGGAAACATGCCACCGGATTTTGTCAATTTTGCACCAATTTGCCCTCAACCCTTCCAGGGATATTCATCCTTTGTTGCATACCCTGCCTGTATCGATGCACATAGCAAAGCTGTTGTGGTCGTTGATCTTCTGGGAGTAGGTGGTTTCCGCTTTGCCTGTGTACTCCCTGACAGGATTACCTATGATCATATCACAAGCTTTGTGCAATCCATCCCTGGTGTCCAGTCCGGTCCTGTTGACCTCTATGTTGGGGCCACTGTGACCCCGCATGATCCGAGGTTAAACCTCCAGCTTGCTCACGGCACCCTGATCACCGCCACTCCACCGGGTACCAGGCTTAGACAAGCCATTTGCCTTGAACAGCTCCTTCAGGAAAGAGCTACTTGGGGTCCTGCTGACCAGTTCCCACGCCCATTGCAGATACCTGGTGTCTGCATTCTGTGTGGAGACCACCGGTTCTTCCTTAACAGGCGGCTTGCCCCGGAGCAGACCCCTGTTGATGCAGCCATACAATTCGTCGGGCTGACCCCTGCTGCCGCGTTCTTGCAGATCGCCAGGCCACCCGCCTTTAGTGATTTAGCCTTCCAAGGGTTTATCTGCAAAGGGCTTTCGAGTGTCATTCCTGCGTGCCCCCCTGCCAATATGCCTCCGGATCGGCAGCCACGCGATGACAACGTCCTCTTCATTGATTGCCGACCTCTTGGTGAGCGACCACGGCATCATTATCAGATTGGGGATACTCGACACATCGATATTGTTCTGAGCTCCCTCGGGATTTTCCCGCCGCAGGGCTGGAAATTGGTTGTTCGTGGTGCCGACATAATCCAGGGCTTTGTCACTACGCCCACAGGTGCGACTCTCACTGTCCGGGCAGTACCTGAGGATCTTCCCCATGGCCTTCCTGCGCATGACACGTCGCCTCCTGATGACGGCACTGATCATGATCATCCGCCACCGGATCGTGATTCAGACATATCAGAAGACCCAGCTGATGACTCGACCTCCCAGGCTTCCACTGTGCTACGTCCTAGGAGCAGATCACCCAGGCGTTTTGGATACGCCGGATGTCAAGCTGCAGATTCTGCTTTCTGTCTGTGTTCGCCAGAGCATAAAGATCTACAGTCAGCTGGAGAATTGTCCTCTGACACTGAGCAAGCTCACCTGCTGCCTGGGCACCGTTGGCCTTGCCGGACCGCTTCTGAGTTTTTGCATTTTGGAGGTTGGCTTCTTAAGGCCCCACCTGTTCCACCTCAGGTTTGCCCCGCTCTAGAAGCCTTTTCCCAAACCCTAACAGGCCTGCATTCATTCTGGGATTTTGCTGAGGCTGCACTGTGTCCTTTTGTTGCTGGCTTCAAGGGTGTGCGCACTCACCGTGGTCCTGATCGCTTACCGAGCAATGCTTCTCCTGAGGCAAGACAGGCTGCCGGATTGCCACCTGCCCACGAAGGTTCTCCAGGTCAAAGGGAGCCGCTTCAGCGGCCACCACCCTCGTTGCATGCGACCCCTCCCACACAGGAGGAGCTTGCTGCCCAGGCCGAACCTTTCCAGGCTACTATTGTTGTCCTTGCCCCCAGCTACAGCTCGGAAATCGTCAAGATTGGGCTGAGTGCTCCCTGCACGGTCAACCAGGCGCTTGATGCTGTTGAGCTAGGCCGACCCGATGCTCGACAAGACCTTTTCGGTGAACTGACCCCAGTGCTTCCGCAACCCTTTGAGGACCATGCTGTCCTCATTGCAGCCCCGATCTGGTCCCTTACCACACGTGTGGTCTGCTTGCATATCGATTTCCCGCAGCCACGCCTCTTTAGCGTAACGGTGCCCCACAGACTCAATCGTGAAAGCATATGTCTGCTTGCTGAGTGCCCGCTAGGCATCGACATCTGTGTTTACGTTGGGAACTCGTGGCTCGCTCTCCGTCAAGGGGAATTCGCCCTCTTCAACCATGGAGATCTTGTGACCTTGGCACCAGCCAACATTCTCCATCGGCCTGGGGTAGACTTACAAACCATGCTGCTCTCAGCCCGGCCGTGGGCAGCTAACCCCGATGTTGTTCTTGGGCCGCCTGGGTGCCACTTCAACATCTTGACTGATGCCATGCCTGTTAGGCTGACCTTGACAGATTTTGGTCGTCAGGCCTTCACAGGGCATGTTGAGACTGCCCTACAAGCTGATCCCCTGCGACTATCTCTGATTGCCCCACTCCCTGCCATCGAGGACTTCATGCACAAAGGATTCCACTGCGAGCGGACTGTTCTTGCGACCGAGCAGATCAGTCGGATCCCTGTCCCCCCTGGGAGGGTCCAGCCACGACGCACTGCATTCTTCATTGATGGCCGACCGCTCCTTCTTGGATTGTTCTGGCGCTTTGCACCAGGCCAACAGGTCGATGTCACTGCCTTAATCGAGGAGTTTGCGCACCGTGTCTCGCCTCCCTTTGTGCTGACGGTCACGGGCGGGACCCCCATGCACTACGTTGATAGAACCATTCATCACATTTGCTCAGGGCAAGTTGTTGTGCTCACCCCAATTTGCCCCGCTGATAATGATGAGGTAAGTTCTCCGCCCCTGCTCAGCGACGGTGAGGAATCAAGCTCCTCTGGATCCTCTGGGCATTCCTCCCCGAGCTCGCCATCTGAGCACACTCAGAGAACCGACAACAATGCAGCCCCTGATGACCCTTCTGCTGCCGGCTCGGAGTCACCTCGGTCGCCAGGGCGTAGTGCTGAAGACAGGAGCCGCTCCCCTCGGTCTAGAGGCCTAGGAGGTGAATGGCACCTCCTTACCAGCTGGCTTTGCCTTATAGGACACCTCTGGCTTGCCGCCGCACCTCTGACAACAACCTGGCCTTACATGTGCAACGGAGCTTTCCTGCATGATGTCTTTCGCGAAGACGAGCTCCTGCGCACCTCTGTAGACCAGTTCTTTGTGTTATGTGCTGGCCTTGCCTACCATCTCGCAGCCCTTGCCAGACTACTCTCATCCACTGCCAGTGTGGTTTGTGCCCTTTGCATTGCCATTCAGCTAGGCTGTGTACGGCCTGGAACCATTAGAAGCTTCCCGAGTCTAGGCTTTGCTGTCGGTGTCTTCCTCGCCTTTTCTGTGGCTTGTGAAGCTGTCCAACTCGGGGCTAGCCGTGGCGGCGTGCCTGACCTAGCACACCCAGAACCTGCCAGACTCTCGCCCCACCTAGCAATTGCCGTTGAAGCACGTGTTGACAGCGATCTCTCTAGCCTGTGTCGGCCTACTGTACCCAAGGCAAGGCCAGTCCCCACACCATGCCGAAGCACCGCTGATCCTCCTGAGACCGCTGGTCATGCTGCATATTTTACTATCGCTGATGATAGCGAGTCTGAAGCCGAGGAAGATGAGGCGCCCAGGAATGACACACCAACTCCCGATGGCCCAGATGATCTCGACTGCACTCTGGACGGACCCTCTGTGCTTGAATGGGAGATCTTCGGTAGGGCCCCGGTGCATTCCAGGCATTCGTCTCTCAGCTCATGTACTCTTCTTTGGCTAGCTGCTGCCCGCGCAGACTGCTTTGCCTTCGCTTTGGCCAGTGCCACGCTGGAGGTACTATGCGAGGCCTTCCCTCCGACGTGCTGGCAAGCTGATGTCGTATGTGCCTCCTCTCCGGGAGCCTTGCCCACAGCTGTGCGCCCAGGCCGCATCCTCACCTTGGATGACAAGCTACCTGCCTCACTTCTGTCCAGGTCTCCCTTTCAGCCGACCGCCTGGGAAGCCCGACTCAAATCCTGTGTCGAAGACCTTGACGGCACTATCCGGGTAGGGAATGTCCCGGTTCCATTCACTTGGCGGCAATTTGCACAACTCTTTGCCGCAGGCGCTGACCTTGTCGACCTTACCACTGCGTCTGCCTTCTGCCCAGCCCTCAGACAGTGGAGCAGACCGGGACTCATTGCCGCCTTGTCTTCTGCGTGCCAAGCCTTCCCGCCTGATGACATTGTCTGCTTTACGGATGGCTCCTACACGGCTGTCGCTGAAGGCCCTGATTTATGCGGCTGGGCTTGCGTGCTCTTCCACACCGGCTCTCAATCTCTGCGGTTCCTGTACGGGTCCTTCCCGGCCTTCCTTGCAGAATCGGATTTTTGCCCATCGCCATTCCAGGGCGAAGCAGCTGGCTTGCTCGCGGCTGCTCTGGCTACCACTGCCACCGCTGCTTATGCTAGCGTCCACTTCCTCTCCGACTGCATTTCCGCTCTGGGCATTGCTGAAGGGGTGTGCCACTCTGCCCCAGGCAGCGTTGCACAGGCCATGCGACATGCTCATTGGCTCCGCTCCCAATGCACTCCTGGGACGGACTCTTACTCGCATATACGAGGACACCAGGGGCACATAGGCAACGAGGTAGCTGATCTGCTTGCTAAGGCTGCAGCGAGCAAAGCCACGCCCTCTTGTGGCCTCAGGACGCCCACGCATATCCTCTGCGCGTGGCTCGGCGCAGGGGCCCCCTACCTCCCCTGGGCTGGTCTGGCCATCCTCAGTGCTACTGGGGACTCTTCTCTCCCCCCATGCAATGCCACCAACCTTGGCAACGACCAGGATCATGCGGGACTCACTTGTTGTGCTCTTCTTGAGCCTTTTATCCCTCAAGGGGCTATCCCTGACAGTGAGGACTTTGCCGGCCATCCCAAAGCCCCTGATGTGGCAGCCTCTCCAGGCTCCTGGACCATGTCTCTGGCTCTGGCCACCTTCAACACCTTATCACTTGGATCTTCTGCTGAGCAGGAAGGTACTCCCTGCGCAGTGACCGAAGGTCTAGCCTTTCGACCGGCACGAGCAGTCCTGTTGGCATCCCAACTTATTGACCATGGTATCCATGTAGCATGTCTGCAAGAGACCAGAGCCGAGGCTGGCCTCACGAAGGTCGGAGGGTTCTTGAGATTTGCTAGTGGTGCCATCAGAGGGCAGTGGGGAACCGAATGGTGGTTTCGTGAGAACCACCCCTTGGGGCTGCAATCGCAGGACTCCCCGACCTTTCGTGAAAAGCACTTCGCTGTTGTGTTTTCTGATGCCCGCCGCCTCTTTGTCCGTTTTGTCTGCAAGCCGATCAGGATTCTCTTCATTGGAGTGCATGCCCCCCACCGGGCAACGGAGGCTGAGGCTTTACTGAGTTGGTGGCAGCAAACCTTCAAGCTTGTCAAAACCCACTGCCGTGATGAGTGGGTTGTCTTTGCCGGTGACTGCAATGCTGCAGTCGGTTCGATTGGCTCCAACCACATTGGACCACATGGCGCGGAACCTGAAGATGTGGCTGGCGAACAGCTGCATGATATTCTCCGGTACATCGATGGATGTCTTCCTGCCTCCATCCCGGAGCTCCACTCCGGTCCAACCCATACCTACACTCACAAACGGGGCGGCGGACTTGCTCGCATTGATTATCTTTGTGTCCCCCGTTCCTGGCTACGAGGCTGTTGCAAGTCGCATCTTGCCCCCGGCATCCATGCAGCGCATAGCTGCCCAGATCATGTAGCCTTAGCCTTGCACATTCAACTCCCCATCCAAGGGCCCTCCGCCGTGCCTGCGCTCAGACCTCGTTCCTTCTGCGCGTCTGACATTCTTGCGCCTGCCAATGCCGATGCCCTCGCCAAGGGGCTCAGCGCGTTACCACCCGTGCCCTGGAATATCTCTGGCCATGCACATGCTGCTATCCTGGTCTCATGTGTGCAGCGCATCCTCACGAATCTCAAGCAAAAGAGCGGGCCCAGACAGCACCGCAGCTACTTGAAGCCGGAAACTTGGCAGCTGCAGAGGCAAGTCGCCTCTGCGCGAGGGTCCTTGCACCGCCTCCAGCACCAACTGCGTTCTCAGCGGTTGGCGGTCTGTTTTGACTCTTGGTGCGGCAGGCGAGATGCATCCGCGCCACACTGCGGTGCTGCGTGGTGGAAGCAGGCTGATGTTGCTATCGCTGCGCACCAAGCTGTGCTCAGACAATGGTGTGCTCAGCTCCGCCTTGCTTGCCGTAATGATAGAGCTGATCACATTAGTCAGTTGGCCGATAAGATCTCCACAGGGCCCTCCGGGGAAATCTTTCAGAATCTTCATGCACTCTTGTCCCACAAGCGCCGAAAGCCATATCGGGCTGAGCCTCTCCCTGCCCTTCGCCTTGAGGATGGCACTCTCTGTGCTGATGGCGATCAAGTGCTTGCCAGATGGAGACGCCATTTTGGAGGTCTTGAAGCTGGCATTGAGCTCTCCGTCCCCGCTTTGGTTGACCGGGTGCACCAAGGCATCCACGAGGACAACGCTGACTCCTCTCCGTGGCCCCTTCCGGAGTCCCTTCTTGATCTACCCACAGAAGCCGACATCCAGCGACTTCTTGTGCAGGCTAAGGCCAACAAGGCTCCTGGGGCCGATGGATTGCCTTCAGAATTAGGCCGTCAATTCTCGAGGCAGCTAGCACCCCACCTTCATCGCTTGGCATTGAAGACCGCTCTCCGGGGATGCGAGCCGATCGGCTTTAAATCCGGCAAAGCTGTTTGGTTTTTCAAGGGCAAAGGTTCCATGAGTGACTGCAGTTCCTACAGAGCGATCCTTCTCCTACCGGTTTGGGGTAAGATTCTGCACCAATCACTTCGCCCGCCACTAAAGAGCCATTTCCAAGCTAATTCTCCTGAACTCCAGCTTGGGGGGAAATCTGGCATCAGCGTAGTTTTTGGCAGTCATTTGATCAGGGGAGCTGCGCGCTACGCTGCTTCGCAGGGCCGCACCCACTTCACCTTGTTCACCGACATAGCCTCTGCCTTCTATACCGTCATACAGCAGCTCGTCGCGCGAAGCGGAAGTCAGACGGTCGATGCTTCAGCTTTTCGCCAAACCACCCAAGGGCTACGGTTGTCCTCTGAGGAGCTCGAGGCCCTACGTCAGCATCTCGCTGCCCCTACTGCCATGAGCTCCTCTGGAGCCTCCCCCTGGTTGGAGGCGCTGACTAGCCGATACCAGGCTGACAACTTCTTTATGCTGAAGGGCGATGACAAAGTTGTTGAGACATCCCGCGGCTCTAGACCCGGCTCCAGCTGGGCTGACCTGGTCTTCGCTGAGGTCATCACACGAGTCCTCCATCGGAGGGACGCCTTAAGGGATGCTGGGTTTTCTTGTTCCGAGCCGGTTCGGCTCCCGTGGGATGGAGAACGCACCCTAGACCCGGTTCCTCCCTCGTCTGCTGACTTGAGTCTCGATAATGTTGTATGGGCCGATGATGTTGCTCTTCCTCGCCTGACCACTCCCGCGCAAGCAGCATCCGCCCTGGCTTTCGAGACCAGCTGCCTGGTTGACTCCTTCAAGGAGTTTGGATTCTCGTTGGCCTTCGGGCCTCATAAGACTGCAGGGGTTCTGCATCTTCTGGGTGCCGGAAGCAGAACTGCCAAGCGCCATATTTTCGGCTCCTCCGGCCTTGCGGGCGCTGTCCCTGTTGTCTTTGAAAACGGCAGTGTGCGCCTTCCTCTCGTGCATTCTTACCGGCATTTAGGCACGCAACAAAGTCCCGGCGGGGGATTAAGTGCCGAGATCCGATACCGGATTGCCCAAGCTAGAGCTTCGTTCGCTGAAGGTCGCAGGAAGGTCTACAAGGTCTCGCAAATTTCTGCCAGGCGGAAGAGTCACATACTTTGCGCCACTGTGTTGGCCAAACTCTTCCATGGCGCTGGCTCCTGGGGACCCCTGAGCCAGTGCGAACGCCGACTACTGCAGGGAGCTCTTTGGTCTTTTTACCGACCCCTTCTCGGGATCAAGCATTCTGATGATCAGCATGTTGACACGTTTTCATGCTTGGCCCTCTTAGAACTCCCCAGCCTTGATACTTGGATGCGGTTCCATCGACTCACCTACTTCAGGCAGGTCGTGTCCTCGGCGCCCCCTGCGGTCTGGGCAGTGCTGCGAGCAGACCGTGCTCATGCTTCGCTGGTGCAGGAGGACCTTCGCTGGCTACACCAATGGACTTGGACCACCACTGGCCTTCCATGCCCTACACACTGGGTTGTTTGAAGATAGGTGAGATAGGTGAGATACTATCCAAATTATAAACCATTTATAAGTGACTTAGGCATGGTCTAACTCGTTTCTATCTCTATCTCAAGATACTATCTTCGACGGAAGATGGCAAGAGATAAAAGACTTAGAACGGACTTAGAAAAGATAGCTGCGCCAACAGGGTGAATAAGTAGTGTATGGCCAGAAGAGAAAGAAAAAGATAAACAAAGATAAAAACAGATAAAAAAAGATAAAAAAAGATAGGAAAAGATAAAAAATAGATAAAACAGAGATAGCAGGAGTATCAACAGACGGTGCTTTGACGAGTCCGTGCATGTAGTTTTTTTCGTGCACCTTCCGCGAGGCTTGAAGAGGCAATGCGAGACCAGACTGCACGATCCCAGAAGAAATGCTCTGATTGGCGTTTCTATACTGGCCGGCACAGCTTACGAAGTGCACGTCCTTTCTGCACACGTGGAAAACGCCGAGCCCTTCTTTGAGGCCAAAAACCCGCTGGAGCTTGCACACATCCTTCCTAAACCCAGAAGGCTTATGCCCGAAGCCTTGAATCTTGAAGCGGAAGTGAAACAGATTGCAAGACACTCTCTTGCAGCTGTCCGCTGTGCCTGTATCGGGGGGTCCCGCCAGCAGCAGCAGCAGCAGCCTACTAGGTCTCAGAATCTGCCAGAGGCAAAGACCTTCTGGCCTCCAGGGTTGAGGCCCAGATGAGGCACTACACGCACTACCCTGCACTACCCGGCCCCAGCTGGCCCAGATTCGTAGAGGGCTCCAGGCACTACTCTCCTTCAGGCTCCCAAGGCCCAGGGGCGCACTACACCACACTACCTTCCGCCAGGGTCCCCAATAGGGTCCAGCAGCTCTTCTTCACTGCTTGGTCTGTGTGGCTCAAGTCCCGGCAGCAGCGTCTATAGGTCTTGTCCCCCAGCAGCTCAGACTCCTGCCGTGCCGGCCAAGCATGGCCGCTACAGACCCGAGCACTCGGGATTGCCATCGTAGGTATAAGTACCTGAAATCAAGCCCTTCCTATCTTTCACAGGAGACGCAGCTGAATGCTGAGCAAGCTGGCGAGGAAACTGCCACCCAGTTGCTGGGCCTTGCGCCCGACGCTGATGCGCTTCCGGCTGCAAGCCTGCCTTCCGAAGCTCTGGCGGCAGGAGCTGAGGCAGTCCCTGGTGCACGGCTGCAGCTGCAGCTCACTCAGCCTTGCGGAAAGTGCCGCAAAGTTTGACGTGTTTGTGGTTTCCATGTTCGGTATCTTTTGAGCCTACTGGTTTTCCTTAAATCAGATAAAAAAAGATAGAAAAAGATAAAAAATGATAAAGAAAGATAGAAAAAGATAGAAAAAGATACTAAAAAATAAAACAGATTTAACTTATCTCACTTTTATCTTTTTTTATCTCTCCTTTCTCTTTCTTTCTCACCTAAGTCAAACAACCCACTGTGTACACTCCAGTGGCACGCATGGCTGGCCTTCATTGAAGGGTCACCGGGGAAATTCAAAGGGCTCGTCAAGAGGGCCCGTGCCCTTGAGGGGAGACGAGTACAATGCATCGCTGCTTTACAGTGTCTCCATCGGTCCCTGATTGTTGCTTTTGGCCAACAGCAGCGATGCTCCAGCTCGGCACCAGCTGAGCCCCAGGTCTGGGATGAAGTCTGCATCCCATGCCGCCGCGCCTTCGCCAACAGGCGGGCTTGGGCTGGGCACTGTGCCCGTAAACACGGGTACCGCAACCATGCATTCCTCTGTGCTGAGGACACGCTTTGCAAGGCTTGCGGGAAGCGCTTCTCTTCGATTGGACGCTTACGGCGACATTTGCTCGCCCACACCGACTGCATTTCCAAGTGGGGTGCTTTTCAGTCTGGAGGAATTGGGCCCCCTCACCTTCACGTGCAGGCCCTGCCTGAGAGCACGATTGGCTTTGAAGCCACTGATCAAGGTCTGGGCATTCGCACTGATGTCTCTCTGGGATTGCTAGCTGAGCTTTCAGCTGTCGAAGAACCCTCTAGCGGTCTTGTCTGGGATATTGTTGCCGGCTATGTCGAGCCCCTGACGGTGCTCAGGGCTACGGTTCAAGAGTGGAGCGCTGCTCCTGAAGCTACTCCGGATCGTGTCTCTGTGTGCCAGGACATCTTGCTTCTTTTGGACGTTGACCTGCTAGCCGACTCAAGGCAACCTCTGACAGCTCCTGGCCGCACCATTTCGGAGTCTGTCCCCGATTGGCCCTTACCTGGGGCTGGTCCTCTCGTCTGTGGCCTCCCACGACAAGCCTTCCTTCTTGCCACGCCGCCTTCCATGCATCTCAGCCCCTGGACTCCACGAAGCATGCGCCTCCGGGATGCCACTGGCTATGCCGTGTGGCTCGAAGATGCCTGCCGGGTACTCGCCAGCCTCGTCGAGGCCTCTCAAGTGCGCCCGGGTAACTTACACTGCCCGGGCATTGGTGATGCCCTAGGACCAGCTGCCGACTGGATGCGAGCCGTTGGTTTCGAGGTAGGGCCAGACGACATCTCCACACCTGTCTGATCTCACCCGTTTCACCTTGAATTTGGATGCTAGGCGAGCGCCTGAACAAGGCTCAACCGCTGCGAATGAAAAAACTATCTGGGAGAGTATATGGTAATGAAGCGCTTATAGTGAACCCCAGAAAGTTGGAACATAGATTTAGGACGAATAGTGCTGGGATTCCCTCTCCCTGACCTGAAGGGCATGAGGGCAATGATGTTCCAACTTTGTGGCTTCTACCGTAGGCCCTTAGGGTAACGGCTCAGGAGGTCCTGGAAGACTGGGGGGCCCTTGCTTTGAGTGGCACGCTGAGCTCAGGGAATTAGCGACCCGTTGCTGCCTTGGGACGGAAGGAAGGTCAGAGAATTTAGGGGTTTTTAGGGTTTAAGGTCCGGGATTTCAAGTTTGGTCATAGGATTTAGGTTTTTAGGGTTTATAGGGTCTAGGATTTCAGGTTTTACGCTCAACTAGAAAACCTGCGTTTTTGTAGGCTCTTATCATAAACCCTAATCTGGAAATTATAAGGACTCGACGAAAAAGCAGGTTTTGGTAGGTTAGGGTAGGGTTTTCGGATAGTTAGAATGGGGTTCTTCAAGGGGCCGGTAATTATGAGTGGGGTTCCGTTACAGGGATCTATCGGGTTTAGGGTATAGGATTATCGGGTTTAGGGTTCATGGGTAGTTATAAGTAGGGTTATAAGTAGACTATACTTATAACCCATATTAAGAGACGTATAAACCCCCACTTATAACTACCCATGAACCTCCAAGTACACACGAGAAGCTTAATTAAGGTTTGCCTGGACCCTGAAAACCTACGATTTTAGGGGGCCGCTTAATATGATGCCCGTATATAAGTCCTAAGGAGGTACGTCTTTGAGGGTGCAGATAGGGTTTAGGGGTTTAGGATTATGAGCTAAAACCTGCGGCCGTTCAGGCTCGAAGTAGTCCGCAAGGCGCAGCCACGGATTCAAGAGAAGCATCCCGGCAATTCTTTCGCTGCTGATGCACTTGCCACCTGAAGGCCCCACAACTATAAGAATTTCTCATCCGACCGAGAGCCTATAGGTCCCTACACTCAAAGGCACGGGAAGCGTGGGCTGCAGGCCGGGTTCAGAGGAAAAGGGTTCAGGCCTTGCGGTCTCTCAATGGCACAAGTGGGAAGGCCGTCTACCTGACGAACTCGGCCGTCGAGGTACCAGGGTTTAGGGGGCTTTAGACTTAGGGGCCTTGTTATGGAGACCATTAAGCAAGTCTTGTAGAACCTCTTCTAGGAATCCCTCTATAGAAAGCCTCCCCGGCTTGGGGCGGATACTAGAACCGCACTTTCTGCCACAAGGCTGACGCTAAATCCTGGCGACTCTCTCAAAACCAGAAACCCTAATTCACGAAATCCTCGACAACCTCATTTGGCGGTCGAATAATTGGACTATAGTCTGTCTTCATCTGCAAGTGAGTTAAGGAACCCTGGAAAATAGCGTCTCAATTGCAGCGACCGCATGTGGTTGATCTACTTCATGGCATGTACAGTGCATGTCTGGGTACCTTCGCTTCAAGCAAGTAAAGCACCTCGCACGGAAAGCAACTGTGGGAGACATCGATTGCCTCTTGTGCGTCTTTACACGCCCGGCCTTTCAGTGTGCAAGTCAGCGACGGGTCCGGGTTGAGGGTTTCTCCCAAAATCCCACATCTTACCTAAATCCTAAACTCTAAAATGTTAAACCCCTAAGCCCTTAAATTCTAAATGTTCAGCTTCTAAGGGCACGTAGACTCCCTCGCTCAGCTCTCTCTTGCTCTCGAACTTCTATATTCTGGCCGCCAAAACAACTCAAACTGTGCTATGAAGGCCAAATCTACCGCAACCCTAGCCCCAGGAAAGATCAGGGTTTGGGATTCAGGATCTGTGGATTCAGGGTTTACGGATTTTTGTGTGTTTTTGAACGCCTTTTTCCGCCCGCCGAGGCAGAATCCTCATGAGGAAAGCACGGTTTAGGGTCCAGGGTTTAGGATTCAGGATCTGGGGATTCAAGCTCTCTGATTGGCCAGCTAAGGACGCTGCGAGAGGCCTCAGACCGGCATCGGGCCCCGAGAGTTTCCGAAACTTAGAGGGGTACCTTACTTTGGGGTCCTTAAAATCAGGATCAGAATATTCAAGGTACTATATCTAGACCCAGGAGTAACCTGGTAAACAAAAGGATGCCCTTTTTGGTTCAAAGGGGGTTTATAAGGGAACCTGAACCCCAAAAAAGGGAATAAGGGCTTACTCTGGGTCCTAGATATTAGGGTCCCCTATTCTCGGAAACCCCCAGTTACATGCTGGATTCGATTTTTGCTTTGCAAACATCCTGCATTTCCGGTCTGTCACAGGAAGAAGGATCCAGAAGCACTCGGTTTGTTTCCAATTTGGTGATTGAGGGTCTAGGCTTCTCGAGCTAGGATCCTGGACTCGAGTTTGGGCTCAACAACGAAGATCAAGCTAGTGCAGGAGCCTTAATGATCAGAATAGGGTTTTGGGGCCCATTAGACTAGTCTATAGTTACAATAAGGAACCACCAAAATCGTATAGGTAAATATTTTAGGCCCCTATAGCAACCCCCGCCCGCGCCTAGAAACCTTAAGCACCCTGAACCCTAAAAGCCTTCTGACTTGACGGAGGATCGAAATTCAGCCAAAAAGCTGTGAGCTTGTCTACCCCTGCTAGCATGCTTATCGGGTCTTCATGATATCCGAATCAGGGCATATGGTAGAACTCAGAAGAAGGCACTACAAATGGCTACTACTGCAACTTATTCAGGCTGAGGTGCTTCACATCACACACTATCCAGGCACGATCCGAAAATATTTTCGCACCTTACAAAAACAAAACATCCTTATAGTACCCGTATAGACCCCTTTAAAGGAACCCCTATAGATCCCTTTAAAGGAACCCCTATAGACCCCTTAGTCTCACCGATGTGTTTGGAATCCAACTCTCCGGCAGACTTCGCCGTGCTTGCATTTCAGCCGCGGGCAATGGCCAGGACCAAACACATCTAACGAAGTATCTTGGTAGTTGTCAAAATTATGGTGCCTTTGGGGGTACCCTAAATAGCAGGTGCCGTACTATAATAGGGACCCAAAAAAGGACCATAATTTTGACAACCACCCGTGTTGTAGTAGAACATGCACTAACCTGTAATCGTGCAATATAGTCTAATGAAAGATCACACAGTGTATCTTAATCTAACGTAGCAACGGGGATTTGAGAACAAGAATGGGCTTTGGGATACTAGTATAGTATAGTTCAGTAGTACAACCACAATACGGAACCCTAACGGTTGATGATATAAATCCTGCATGACCCATAATAAGGAATATGCCATAATTCCCATAGTTTAGGGTCCTTACGGTAATGCAGGATCTATATCATCAACCGTAAGCACACTGAATCGAGGCTTACATGTTTCAGTCAGAGGGTTCAAATCTCAGAGCCCGATCTTTCTGCTTACGGGCCCGTTTAGAAGCAGACCAACACTTGGGTGGTTGGCAAAATTAGGGCCCCTTTTTGGGTCCCTATAATAATACGGCACCTATCATTTAGGGTACCCAAAAAGGGGCCCTGATTTTGACAACCGCCCACATGGATCCTAAACATGGGGCAATAAGGATGCCTAGATGCGAGGGATGCTGAAGAACGTTGGCTGTGAGATGCTTTCGTTCACGTGGTCTTCGGGCCCCTATATACCCTTATACTCTACATCCAAAACTCTTGACCCTGTCAAGCGCCCATTCAGAGATCACATCCTCACAAGACCCGAGAATGCTCGAACTGATTCAAGAACCACATTAAGTCCCTGATCACATTTCCATTCAGCCGGTTAAGGGTTTAGGGTCCCAGTTTAGGGTTTCAGGCTTTGGGCTTGCCAAGTAAGCTTGCAATCGTTCAAGGAAGATGCCTCGACTGAGGGTCTTTACCGGTATTGGACGGCACCTACCCATACACTCTCCAAAATAGAATGTCGACGTCACGACACAAAATCTCGACGGGAACTCAGCAAGAACTGTACAAGCCCTGCATACACTGGCAGGCACCGGAATTACCGAAAAGACGCCAGTCTGGACCCGAAAAGCAACACAAAAACCTTCAGCCCGAACAACACCCTAGACTCCTGAACCCCCCAGAGACTCCAATATCCCTTATATATTTAATTAAGGAATAGACCTTAAAATCATATGAGGGATCCCACTAGAATTCAAGGTATATTCCTTAATCAAAGGATATTGGAGTCTCTGGGCCCCAAATAATCCTAAACCCCACATCACGAACCTCCGCGCCCCTACATAAACCCCCAACGCTCTGACTTCGCCTCTCCCTTTGTTGGCCGTTTTTGGACACGTGCTCGCAGACTGCTTCAGATCCCCGGTAGACACAGGACCGTAGGGACCCTTAGGGGGTTAGGGGGGAGGGTCGGGGACTTTACTTCCCCTTAAGTAGGCCTGATTGAGTGCATATAAAGGGGTCAAGGCCCCCTACCGCCCCTCTCCCTACCCCCCCAAGGGTCCCTATGACAGGAAGGGCGAAGAGCCCTTTCATTCAGGTCAAAGAGACTTGCTGGGCTTGGCGTATACCGTGAACTACCAAGATCCATTTCTTTGTAGGGCTCCGAGACTTCGGCATTAGGGTTTTGGTTAGAACCTAGAAGCAAGTAAGTTATGGTAGTTCAAGCTAGTGTCTGAAGTTTCGTGTCTGTCTGGGGTTGCCGCGGCGAGCCCGAAAGCGATTCGGGTCAGGGCTGCTTCTACATACGGGTACACCCTAACTGTTGTCCTTGCGATGGTTGGCACCGACACTAGGCAATATGAGTTATCAGGGATGTGACTATAATGATCAGTTGCCAACACGGAACAGGCACAGTGACGACGAAGGACCTATTGAGAAAGATCTTCGTGCACAATGTGATGACTGCCATGTCCATGATAACTTTGCTACTGCTGCTGAGTGTGGCAATGGCGGTGATGCTGAGGCTGGTCGTGATGATGATG